CGCGTTATTAGCACGGCGCTCTAACCAGCTGAGCTAAGGGACCGCTGTCATTTACCCTCTAAAATAGTTAGTTAATATTATTAGTTATTGCTGTGTATTTCATTTTTTCTATTCATTTATTATTGAATTTTGCCTCGTCATAATATTATTCATTGATGAAAGTGACTCATAGTGAGTTTCGTATGTTAAAATATTTCATATAATAAAAGTAATAGTTAATGAAAATATTAGTAATAACTAACCTTTGATTTTCTATTGTTGATTATAGAATTATAAAGAATTATTTCATGACATAATATTAAATAAATATGTATAGAAGTTAAATAATTGTCATAAATAGTTTTGATCTAGAAATATGTCAGATATTTGAGATTAACAGTGGAATTTCTGACTGCTGATTTTTTCGATTGTGAATTATTTTCATTGTCGAGTTTTTATGGAGTTGATTATGACTTCAGATTTAGTTTTAACTTGCCATTAACATAATATTATTGTTTTAGTAGAATGAGCAGTAAATTGTGAGATGTATTAGAAGATATATATATATTTGATATAACAGCATCCGTATACTTTCAAATACTGGTTCATTCGAAATTAAGTGATTAAAAGCAAATGAATTTTATCATATTGTTGAATTAGGTTTAAGATATTTTTCAATCACTTTTCTCAAAAATACATGAAATACGAAATAACTATAGTTACTGATAGAAGAAAATATTTATTAAATGTATTCGGAACCATGTTGAATATATTTGTAGTCTAGTTTATACTACTTAGTAATAATAATCGAGATCTGTAATAAATGCTGAAGAGAAAAGAAGTATCGCTGTGGAGTCTGTAATGGATGGTGTTACTATATGCCATCACAGGTCTATGATGTTTATGACGAAGAGTGAACACGTGACTCTAAATTTGTTTTCCTTCCACTTCAATACCCCTGTTCCTGTTTCTCAAAATTTAAACATAGTTCGTTTGGTGCATATGAATTTAATGTTTCTTTATCGTAAACTATTCAAAAAGAAAAACAGTTACACAACTAAATAACAAAAAATTATTTTATTATGTAAAATAGAAAACTCTTTCTACTAAATAAATGTTAAAAGAATATTTTAAAGAGAAATATAATGATGAAACTGGTATTATGATTTGAAAATCTCCAACGAGTCATTTTAATCGCCAATCTATATAAATACAAAGGATAAAATAGACGCATTTATTTCTTTATTTTCTTATGTTGTTACATTTGACGAATGTTTTTAACTTACTCAAACATTCAATTCATAAATTACACAATTAACATACATAAGTGTAGAAGTATCGTATACAATATTTTTTTCTCTTTACTCTTACCTTTTTTCCATATATATGTGCGTTATGTATATATACATCAAAATATGATGTTTGGAAAATTTTCTATTTTACCATAGCAATGCGGAACGTAATAAATATTACGCAAGGCTTCAAGCAATTGTAAGAGGGTGATCAAAAACATGTTTTCATATATACATAAAAATGTGAGATAATTGATGTTTACATCTTATGCACGCATAGAGCAACAATTGGTAAGGACATCTTCTAAACAATTTCTCAAATTTCAATTTGTATTCATAAAAATCTATTGAAACAGGTAACTATATGATCAGTGAAGTATACATAAGTATGTTGAATATATATGTTAGATGAAAAAACTATTTATTTTAGAATTACTTGTAAGTACTACAGATCCAAGTCAGTCCATTTCTCCTGATTGGATATATTACGATATACTATGAAAATCTTAATCCATTGAATATTGGAAATTCCAAGAAAGTTTTTCAGGCAATAAATATGACAAACTTACAAATTCCACGAGACGATATTCAACTCGAAAATGAAGTGGGTCATGGCGCTTTCGGTAAGCATTCAAAAGAAGAAGAAAAAACATAAAATTCTTTACTTTAATCTAATATTATTTCAAGGTACAGTTTATAAAGCAAAATGGTTGTCGAAAAATAGTATTGTAGCTTGTAAATGTTTAAATTTAACGATTGGTCCAAAATTTAAAGCAACAACGGACATGATTCTTAAAGAAATAAAGCATAGTCTCGAATGTGCTGGTCCATTCATTCTACCTATATATGGTTTCTTTCTTGAAATTTTGTCACCACTTAATTCACGAATTTATCTTGTTATGGAATATATGCTAAACGGTAGTTTAACTGATTTTTTACGGCGTGATCAACATAATTTAACTTATTGGCGAAGACTCATCATTGCACATGATATAGCATCTGGTATGGATCGTATTCATCGACATGGTATCATTCATCGTGATATTCGTCCGGATAATATTTTAATTGATCAATTCTATCGAGCTAAAATTGGTGATATGGGTATAGCACAAGCATGTTATCAAAATAAAGATGAACCGCAGGGTTGCATGCGTTATATGCCGCCAGAATTTTATTTAAATAAATATGATCAAAAACTAGATGTATATACGTGTGGTCTTACATTGAACTTTTTATTCACAGGTGTAGATCATCATTATGATCCAACTTCAAAAGCAATACAATTAACGAAAATAAGTCCGTTGTTTCGAAAATTGATTGATCATTGTATAAACGAAGAGGCAAACTATCGTCCAACAACACCACAAATTAAAATTATATTACTTAAATTTTGTTTATATTTGGAATCTAGAATTCGTACATATCCTCGTTATCATTATTTACCTGTGAAACAAAAAGACTTAGTTACTTTAGCGATATATAGAGAAAAACGTTTTGACTCTATTTAAATATTTTTCAACAATTATTTCCAACGCTATTCCATATAAAGAAAGAGTCTACGAGAATAACAAATATTGTACATGACAGGAAATATTTGTTCTCAATGGTATATACATATTGTATTATCTGTTAATAATGCCAAAAATTTTTTATGTAAACGAAAATATGTAATAATAAAGCGTACGTAAAACAAACATACATTGTATTATTTTCAGTGTATGTAAATATATGTGCACTATGTCTCTAATATGCTGTATTTTACATTGATATTTTTGATTATAATTATTCTTGCTGAGAACGACGTTGTGACACGTGCACACTGTCTCTCCCGATTACTATATTGTCTGTTCTTCTCTCTGTTTATATCGTCATGTTATCTATGGACTGTTCGTAAATGTCTGAAAAATTATAAAAAAAAATTGTGATCATTCTTTTCATCAACGTTTAAAAGGAGACTCGTTATTGACAAATAATATTCTTTATATTTGTTCATAAATATTTGTATCAGTTCAATATGAAACCATTAAGACTTACTTATCACGTCCATCCACATTATATGGATGATAAACAAAGTAGATTTATCAGATAAAACGTTTGTTTTCGAAGAAGAGAATCTTGATAAAGTCAAATTATTAATAAGATAAACTGCCTTGTTGCATTCAATGTATATCGTTGCGATGACAGATTTTATTGAAAAACTAATTCTATTTTTATTTTTTTGATTCTCGGTCACTGAGTATAAAAATAACTGATTCTTCAAAAAGCAATAGTTTACTCGTAGACACTGCTACACACATATCTAATATTCATACCCATCCTTGATACTTATATGAAACAAAATGTTATACTTTCAGGCTTTTTTTTCTTTTATTTTTATTAAAACAAAGTACATCGTTTCATTAAATACAAATTTATACATATAAAAAAAAAATATCAAAGTAATAGAAATAATTACATCTGACTATCACTTGATCACATATTTAAAAAGAAGAAATTATAGACAAAACGAAATAAATAAAAGAAAAACTTATCTAATTTCTTTTAACTGTATCAACACTAGATTTAAGACCATCGGAACCACTTTTTCCTATGCTAGCGTCTTGACCGGCCTTTGATTGTTC